CTGTCACATGCACACAATGACCACTCTTTGTCATGAATTCCTGCAGCAGCTTCAGAGTTGCTGTCGGCCTCTTGGTCGCCTCTCTGACCAGTTTCCTCCGGCTCTTTCATTCAGTTTGGAGCGACGTCTTGATCCAGGGAGGGTCTGTGTTTTACCAAATACCTTCCACTTCTTACTAATAGACTCCATTGTGCTTCTAAGCATTGATAATCATAGTGCTGTTGACTTGTTTCACCTCTAATCACATTTCATCTCTAATGCAAAACAACATAATATAAATACAAATAATTGAAATATAATATCAGTGCAGCTTATAATATCCAAGTGAAAGATAGAACACCAACATGCCAGAAAAAAATAAAAAAATAAATAAAACGGAATCACTGAGTTGGAAAAAGGATCAGCCCCTTGTGTCAGTATTTTGTTGAACCAACTTTTGCTTTAATTACAGCATTTAGTCTGCTAGGATTTGTCTCTACTATCTACTCTGTAACTCTGCACATTTTGACTTTGCAATATTTGCCCGCTCTTCTTTGCAGAACTGCTCAAGTTCAGTTCAGTTTGATGGTGAGCATTTGTGGACTGCAGTCTTCAAGTCATTGCACAGATTTTCAGTGGGGTTTAAGTCTGCTCTGACGAGGCCATGCAAGGACATTCACCTTCTTCTCCTTCAATCACCGTGTGCACAGTTTTGCTGTGTGCTTTGGGTCATAGTGTGCTTTGGGTCATAGTCATGTTGGAAGGTAAACCTTCTTCCCAATGACAACTTTCTGGCAGAGGGCAGCAGATTTTCCTCAAGAATCCATGTTTCCTTCTATCCTGATGAGCGCTCCAGTCCCTGCTGCAGAGAAACACCCCATAACAGGACATCACCGCCTCCATGCTTTACTGCAGGAATGCTGTTATTTGGATGCTGAGCTGTATTGGATTTCCGCCAGACATATCGTTTGGTGTTGAGGCCCTTGTTTCACCTCTAATCACATTTCATCTCTAATGCAAAACAACATAATATAAATATAAATAATTGAAATATAATATATAATATAATACAACTAATATATATATATATATATATATATATATATACACACAACTATTTGATCAACTATTTGTTGCTCTGTTTATTGAACATAGATTTTGATATAGATATAGACATTAATTATAAATTATAGCACAACAAAAAAAATAGGCAGGACTTTTGTGTTTTTGGATGCTGTATGTGGTTTATCAGGAAAGGGGAAGTGGTTTATGATGAGGAATGATGGGAAATTATAAAACCGAGATTATCTATTTAATAACTGTATGTCATTTTAGGACATTGCATGGCATTAAGGGCTCAATGCATGCTTGAATGGCATTAAATCTTGCTTATTTTTCCTCTAAGAGCAGGAAATTCCAGTTTCTGCCGATGCAAATGTTTGACAAATTCACACACTGTATTCTCTTAGCAGTAGCCACAATCATCTGTGATCATTTCCTACCCAAAAGCAACCACAGAAAAACATCTGTCCGGTTTAATGAGAAGAACAGAGCTTGAGCTGCTGTATCTAGTAGAAAGTATCGTGTCATTATTAGTAATGTGTTTCCTAAAGCAAGTATCACTATAACTGTTACTCGTGCTTAAAGGCAGAGTAAGCGATTTCTGGTAGCCAATGTTGATATTTGAAATCACCAAAACAAACACGCCCCTACCCCAAAAGGGTCTTGCCCCTATTTTGATAGCTCCGCCCCACATATACGTACGCAACCCAGGCAACGATTAGTTCTGTGAAACAAAGCAAAACCAATGTTACACCGTGTCTACGGACGTGAGCGGTGCGGCGCGGGCAACAAATCCCCGACAGAAAACTGCTGCCGGCCCGGGTTCAGTGGCAGCTGACACAAATTTCAAATGGTTTTCAACAGTCGTTTGATCGCGTCCAGTGTAGGCAGACTTTAGCTGTTATAGACACGGTGTTACTCACCTATTGAGAAGAAACAAAGCAACCTCGGCGTCCGATCGCAGGCCTCCGCTCCTTGAGTTCTCTCCAGCGCTGGAAAGCTGATCCGATATTTACACGGGTCCTACTTCTTGCCTTATCGTTCCGCAGACGTTTTCCTCTTTTGTTTTTTATCCGCCATCTCTATCTCTCTGTCGCCCGGCTCGGCTAATGTCCGTCCCATGCACTGAAAGCTCTCTCCTCCACATCACGAGTAGACACGCCCCTTATTGCTGATTGGCTACAAGTTTGTTTTGCTATTCGGCCCGAATCAGTTTTCTAAAGTGTTTTTGAAAAATCACATACCCTGCCTTTAATGTTAGTGATGTGATCAGACCTCTAGCACTAAGTGTTAAACGTTTTTTTTAGGATTCGTCCTGCAGCGTTTGGGCTCCAGACATGAATGATTCCTCAGATCATGTGCTGTTGCTTTATGAAGTGATCAGATGTAGCCACTTTCACCTGCTTGACCGTAACACAGGAGAAAAAATCTCACAGATGCACCAGTGTTTTGTTTTAGTGCCACTGAGATTTTATCAATATTTTGAATTATTTTTTTAATTTCAATTTTAGTTCAAATTTTATTAATTTTGTTTTGTGTTTTTGTTATTTTTATCACTTTTTAAATGTATTGTGAATGTTTTATATTTTTAATATTTAATAATATATTGAATATTTAATTTTCATATCTAATATACTTTAGTGGCATTGCGATACAGTAACTATACTTTTTATTAATATTTTGAATTATTTTTAGTTAAAGTTAAAAATGTTGTGTTTTTATTTTTTATAATTTTTAGTGTTTTTTATATTTAATATAATTTATAAAAATGACACAGTGTCATTGAGATACTTGAATATACTTGTCACTGAGATGTATAGTAATCAATTTAATTAGATTTTATTAACATTTTAGTTATTTTAGTACATCAAGTTGAACTAAATAAATGAGTCATACACACACACACACACAAATATATATATATATATATATATACACGTTTCATTTAAATTTTAGTTAACTATAATAACCCTGAGACCCACACTGAAAGGCATGAGCCACATCTAGAGACCAGAAGATCACAGAGATGTGACATAAATAACTGCCTTGCATACTACATACAGTATACTTCCTTTTACCCTAATTCGGATAATTTATATAAAAGGCTTATAGCTAATAGCCCAGATTTAAATGCTGAAACTGTCGTAGTAGAAAAGCTAAACTTCTGGTGGAAAACTATAAATGGAGGCTGCACTGAAATCCACAAAATTCCTCTGGTCAGGCTGAGCTCAAGCCACAGAGATCAATGTCACACACATTGACAGCTGCGGCCGGGGTCCGTCGTCTGTGCCAGCGTGCTGAAATAAAGACCGCCTGTCCAACTCCCTCTATCCCTTACCCACAATACTAACAGTGGGAAAGATCTTCATTGAGCTGGTGTAGGGAATAATGCAGAAAACTACACATTTACAATAGTTTACAATGATGCTAATGGCACTTTAAAAACAACAAAGACTAACAAAGCAAAAAATACAGAATGGGTAATCTGTTTATTTTATTTATAAAAACATGATTTCAAATATGTATGCCCTCAGAATGTCTTGCTACACTAAAAGGATGCATTTTGCTATTGGTTTTATATTTATATGTTAGGGGCCTTTTTCCAGCTGCACAGTCATCTTTATATTTACTTGATTTTTAATCTTTTTCTTTCCCTTTTATAAGTTTCCTGTAACTCACTTGGTAAAGCATAGCGCTCGCAACAGCAAGTTCATGGGTTTGAATCCTATAGGGAACGAAAACTGGTACAATATATAATGCACTGTAAGTCACATTAGGATAAAAGCATAAATTATGTATGTCCATGAATATTGATGGACATAAATAATGGACATAATATTCAATAAATATAGGACTTATTATTAATTTATTAAATCATGAATTAATTATTAATTTATTTTTGGAACATGATTATCGTTTATTTTAGGTTTACAATTTTGTTTTATATTTTAAAATTATTACAATTTTGATTGACTAATAAAACCTTGTCCCCTTCATATGCTACATTTTTCTTCATGGTTGTGAAAAAAATCTGAAAACGTATGTAAGCCTAAAAGACCAGGCTTGAACATCAAATTATGATTATGATGAACAAGCCTTTACATTTGCATTCATGCATTTGGATCATTTTATCCAAAGGGACTTACATTGTATTGAAGGTGGACATTTTATTAGGTCATGCATTCCCTGGGAATCAAACCCGTGGCCTTGCCATTGTTTGATGAAGCTACATATAGGGCATGTGTTGCAATTATTTGAGTAAAAAACAAACAAAAAAACAGTGCATGTACAATGATACTCATTTGGAGAGTTCACAAGTTTTTTTCTGGTAATCAAACCCATAACCATGTCATTATTTGAGCTATAAGAAGGTGTTGTTTAAACAAAATAAGTTTTTGCCAGTTTTGCATCAAACAACAAATGATAAAGATTTTACATTTGCATGTATGCATTTGACAGATGCTTTCATATAAAGAGACTTACATTGCATTAACAGTGTACATTTGATCAGTTCTTGCATTACCTGGGAATCGAACCCATGACGTTGTCACTGTTTGATGAAGGCTGGTTGGACTCTAATTCTGATGCCACCCATTCACTGCAGATGATCCATTGCTGAGCAAGTGATGGAATGCTAAATTTTTCCAAATTTGTTCCAATAATATATTAAAACTCTTAAAAATAGATTATTTATGAATAATCTCTTTTATTTGTGTGGTCTTATGTGCTTTTTAAATGACATTAACTGTCTATCATAGACAAACTGTCAAAGTTTAATTGTAAAATTGTGAATGAGTGTAGATGAAAACCTCAGATCCATATCAAGCCTTCTATTGGCTAGTGACACTAGAACATTCTCATTTGCTAATGCATAAACTCTACAAGCCCAGAGGAGAATCAAAGGTAATCAATTAAGCTGAAAGGGGAGGAGCCACATAAATTCAAAGCTGTACTTAATGGCAAAGCCTAGCACTGGTGGGTATTGTGTCAACGTTTGTCAGGATGGGTCTTTTGCAAGGTGTGTTAGTGTTGGTTGTGATTGTGGCATTTGACTTGAGGAGTGCATGGGGAAGTTTGAGACACCGTCAAAGTCCAAGCAGCATGAAGCCGCAATCAGATCCAGCTTCCAGAGGTCCTGCTCTTTCTTCTCAAGGGGTCTTGAATCCTTTACAAAAGGCTTCTCAGTTTCAGAGTCTGGACTCCAGAAGATTTGTGCAAGAGCCTCTTGGTTTTCAGGAGAAGCAGCTGTTGCAGGGTCCAGTCAAGCCTTTGGATTGGAGCTTTCCCATCGTTCCAGAGGTGCAAAGTGAGTTAGCGGTGGACTTCCAGTTGAGGCAACCTGTGACTCCCAGTAGTGTGGCTGTTCAATGCGGTGAGAACCGTGTTCTTGTGGAGGTAAAGAAGGATTTGTTTAGCAATGGTCAACTGATCCAGCCATCTGGTTTGTCTATGGGAGGCTGTCCTGTTGTCGGTGAGGACTCTACCTCTCGGGTGCTCAACTTTGAATATGAACTACAGGACTGCAATTAGTGTGCTGATGGTAAGAACTGTTAAATCTTACTGGATTTGTACACCAAAAAAAAAAAGGTTCTTTGTGTCAATTGTAACTTGAATGTTTAACATGGACTTTTCCATTCCTTTTTTTTTTAATTATTATTATTTTTTTTTTTAAATGAACTGCTCACTGGAAGCTGCTATTGGGTAACCAGAAGTGGTTCTATGGCATGGCTGCTAAAACTTATTTATTTTTGACCCTTTTTAATAGTAGAGGACAACTCTCATGGTAACGACTTCAATCTCTTACAGATGACTGAGGATGAGCTTGTCTACACCTTTGCTCTTACCTACCCTCCTGAGGCGTTTGCTGGAACTCCGATTTCCCGTGCCAATCGTGCAGTTGTTGGCGTTCAATGCCACTATCAAAGGTAAGTGACTGGATGTGGTTTTTCAGCACTGTTTATTGTGGTGTTTTTGGTACCTACTTGCACTGCAGGTTCTATAATGTGAGCAGTAATGCTTTGAGGCCAACTTGGGTCCCTTATACCTCAACGGAGTTTGGCGAGGAAGTCTTGATGTTCTCCCTGAAGCTCATGATGGGTTTGTTCAGTTTCTTTAGATCTTAAGCCGTGTGAATGAGGCTGTGCCTAAACTGTTCTTTCCTCTTTCAGATGACTGGTCCTATCAGAGGCCTTCAAACTTGTACTTCCTGGGTGACGTTATTAATATTGAGGCATCTGTGAAGGTGTACAACCACGTCCCACTGCGTGTGTTTGTGGACAGCTGTGTGGCCACCCAAGTACCTGATGTGACTGCTCATCCGAGATATTCCTTCATTGAGAATCATGGGTAAAGTCATGTTACTTTATTGAGTTTGTTCTGTGACCAATTGGTCACTGAGAATTAGGGTGTCTTTTTTTTTTTTTTTTTTTTTTTTAAGTTCCTTTTTAGTAAGTGCTCTCATCACCTGAGACTCCCCATCCCAATGTTCATAATGTCCATCCTAAATGGTATGCAAGTAAAATAAGTGTCAAAGCATTGTATGTCAGAGTATGCCGAAAGTCCCCAGATGGTCTCTTTCAGATTTTTGAAGCGTGGGTCTGTGCAAACTCGACTGGCAATATTGCCAACAATCCGTTGCCCTTTGGTGAAAGATTTGGTTCAGATCTAAAAACGTGAATTAAAAAAAAAAATTAAACCACAAACAGGGTGGATGTGTGCAGCTAATGGTTAAAGAGGAGTTTAGATAAAGGGTTTCGTTACTAATCCACACTTAACCTGGCAACAAGCGTTTAGTGTTTCTTAATGCCAACCAAATTAAAATCTGTTCAAAGATAGTAGGACAACATCTTGAAGGGTTATTCCTTATCGTAAGAACCCCTTAAGGCTGGCCAAGAATATAGTTTCTAACTCCTAGTCATGTGTTGTATAATGATTTTTTTTTTTTTTGCTTCTACATCAAATTGTCAATACAAGGTCCCAAGATTGAATTGAGTGATTTCGTTCTAGGACCGCCTGATGTACAAAAGTATCTTAAGGTACACGTAAAAAAAAACCGGAATTTATTTAATTGTATGGTCTGTCTATTGTCAACCGTTTGTAGAGATTTGGTGTTCAAGAAACCCGGTTATGCAGGAAATTTCAGACTTCGCCTGACAAGGTTTATCTACCCTTTTATAAGCATCCGTTTGGCCATTAACTTTGCTCATGCAAAAACTTGCAGAGTTCTCCGCGTAGACCCATGGCTGGCAGATCAACGTGCTACTTCTCTCAATACAGTAGGAAGTGCAATGTGGAGGATGTTAAGTGAAACCTGATGATTCTCATGAACAAGTCAGTTTAGTGAACGGGTGCGTGTAACTATACGACGGGTCCGTTAAAGATGCAATTGTATGACGTGAGAGCTTGTCACAAAGCTGGCCTACTCTTCTACCACACACCCAAAACTGTACCTTTTCACAAAGAGTACGTACTTCAAGGGCATCGTGTAAGTAGCCACATTAGAAGGCAGCACGGGTCATGGCACTTTATGCATGCAGCTGCTCTTTCACAACTTTGTCCCTGAGAATTAGGGTAAGGTCTAGTGACTTGATGCTACAGAGATGACTGAGTTCTTTGTCATTTCTTATCAGGTGCTTTGTGGATGCCAAGGCTACGGCTTCCAGCTCCCGCTTCATGCCTCGAACCCAGGAAGACCAGATCCGGTTCCAGCTGGAGGCCTTCATGTTCCAGGGAGGATACAGTCCTTCTGTGCGTACTATGTGTTGAATGAATTTGACTTCTCTTCCCAACTGCTTTGGTTTTGTGACCTCTTGCAGATCTACATAACGTGTATTGTGAAGGCCACTCTTGCTTCTGCACCCAGTGATGCGCGCCGCAAATCCTGTTCCTTTTCCATTGGGTATGTTCATGCTACTTAAGAACATGTTGAAGGTGCCGTGTTGATTTTTCTTGTTGCAGGTGGCTTGCTGCTGATGGGAACCACCAGGCTTGTGGTTGCTGTGACTCCACATGTGGTCCTGATGGAGGAAATGCTGCTCCTTTTGGGGGTAGGTAGCTGCTTTAAGATTGCTTTTGACACTTCAAGTGCT